AACCAACCAACCAACCAACCAACATGTTCCCTGGATGGAAGTTATGTAAATTCATGATTAATAAAAGGTTATCTTAGGACATTAAAGTTGCTTCCCTTATATGTAATTGTAAAAAATGCCCATAAAAACTGCAAGACACAAAATGTCAAACCACAAGTTTGCCTGTATCTCTGCATGGGCCCAACAAACCTTCATGCCAAATTTGATGAAGATCCATCAACAGGGGGCAAAGTAGTGGTTAAAAATGCCCATAAAAACTGCAGAATGCAAAACTGAAAATTTGTATGGACCTAATGAACCTCCATACCAATTTTGGGGAATATTCATCTACCCCCTGCAAAGTAGTTACATTGATAGACAACAGACAGTACGGTTATATTTATATTGATTTAAAATTGAACATTTCAAAATATTTTATGCAAAACATTGGAAAAATAGCCCTACAGCTTATTAAATTCATGCTATCATATGGCACTAATATTTTGTCATTGACTTTAAGAACTGGTTGTCAGTTAATTCTCACCCTATTCTCGTTGATATTCAACAATGACTGGGGCCCATTTATCCTATCTTCCGTTTCAAACCAGTTTTTCTGGGTATCTGGTCACGTTGGTATTCATGGGAACGAGCTCACTGACACCACAGCTAAGTCCATCTGCTCTAGCACCATCACGGCCGTGCCTGTCCTATACATGGACTACAGTCCTGTCTTCAAGGCGCGGCTTCGTGCTATTTGGCAATCGACTTGAGGTGAACAATGTCATAACAAGCTTTTTCAGATCAAACATTCTGTTGCTCTTTGGCCATCTTGTTTCTGTAAGGATTGTAAGGAGGAAGTTGTCCTGGCAAGGCTACGCATTGGTAACAGTTTTTTAACTCATCATTTTCATTTATCTGGTATTGACCCATCAATGTGTAGTCTTTGTGACACTCAAGTCACAATAGCCCACATTTTACTGTCGTGTTGTCGTTACGACTGCGAGTGGTGGCACTATTTTCGACACATGTTTTGTCAGGGTTTACCCCTGACGTTGGACAGTGTCATTGGCGATGGTGACACTGTCTATCTTGATTGTATTTTTAATTTTTTACAAATATTGGTCTTTTTAGGTGTATATAAATCTTTTATCCAAATTTTGGACATATTTTGGTTTGAACTACAACAGTTTACTTTTACTGTTTTTACTGGTTGTTTTGTGCAGATAGCCTAGTTGCTTTGCACCCTAAAACACAAAAAAACAACCAACCAACCCTTGTTTTGTGTGTGTTATGTTAAAGCAATATTGCCTTTAATTTGTCAGAAATCAATATAAATGCACAAGGTTGAATTCAACATAATATATATATAGACATTTTATGAGTAAATTAACAGTGAGTATTTTAAGCTTTATAAATTCAATGTTTTTTGTTTGAAGGGAAAATATGATAAATTTTAGGCTTAAGACATGTTGAAACATTACATAAAGACTGTTAATGAACACTTCATTCTTAGCATACTCACTATGTATCTCCAGCAAGAAGGATGTGTGAACAGCATTTTGGCTATGCATTTATTGTTAAAGGTTGTTGAAAGTGTTGTTTTCAAGTCTCAATAGCTGAAGTTTTAGTGTAATAAGAGACCATATTTAAGGTAGTTGTGTAAAAGGCATTAAGTTTTATACTCTGTAACTAAATTATGCAAAGCATGAAGCTTTTCAAACTAAGAAATGTGTATGAAAGTGTTTAAATGTAAAAATGACATACATCTTATTTTACCCAAACAAAATGTAGTAATCATGACATATCAATTCAAATTGAAAATTTTCAATTTTTTATGTGCTCTCAAAGTGCTTTAAAATGTGTAAATATTTAATGATAAAATACTTAGAAAAATATTGTCTAATTTCTTTTCTCAACTAAGTTATTTGTTTGGAATTTCCAAATGCTTTTTTTTTGTAACATGTGAATTATGTTTTTTAAATGACTGTTAGTCTTTTATGAAAGCTCCTATGTTTTTACCATAGAAATTACTGAAGGAAAAGGAGATCTTGATCTAACGGGAATTGATGATGATGAACTTGATGGGGTAAGGTCTCTTCATTATCAAGTGCAGCCTTAATATCATTAAAATACATTTTCACTTTCTGCAAAGATATTGCTATTTAAGAATAGTTTTTATTTTAGTGAATGTAAACTAACTGTGCTGATAAAGCTTTTTAGCTTATTTTGTCCTTCTATTTTAATAATGTTAAATGTTCTTTTTAAATTTGCTTGAAATGAGTCTTTGGTTCTAGGTGTATTGAAGTGTAGGAGTGAATTTGATGCATTAGTTTTATGATTAATATAATGAATTCAGGTTTGATACTTCCCTCTATCACAGTCATCTCATTTGTATGATCTACATAGATTTTGAGCTTCTATACTAGAGTAGTAAAGAGACAATGATAATTTTTTAACAAATTTTATTTCTGTATGCCACTTAGTTATGTAGACATGTACAATATTTTTCCAGTAAATTGTAAGTTTTTACAGCAAGATATATGAGTAATTAATAATTTATTTCTGAATTTGATGTTTCATTTATTAAATCTATTAGAGTGCCAAGGTTCAAAGATGTTTGTTGAATTAATCATCTGATACAAAGTTTCTTTTTTTATGGCACCTGAGAAAATTATAAAATACTGTCTATTAAAGTTTTTGTTTTTTGATAAGTTAAGCTTGGTTAATTGTATATGATAAACAAAATCTGTGTTGTGACCCTTTCACAGGCTAGGCATTTTGAACTTATAATCTCATAATCATATATAATCTCATGGTTAAACTTGTATTATGGTAATATAATGTTATCATGTGATGAGTAACATTATTTCTGGATTTCTTATTTGTGTGATCTTCTAAAAATTAATGAATTTTATTATTCATTCCTGTAAAACCCAGCAGTCATAATGTAACATTTGGATACAGAGAAAACAAAATTTAGTGAAATAATGGAAATTAGGGCAATTTAATGATACCTTGTACATCTTTTAGTTATTTTCCAATAGTTATGTCTTTTCTTCCATAGGTAATATTAAATATTAAGTGAAACATGAAATGAAAATATACTTGTTACAAAAATTCTGAAGAACAACTGTATCATTGCAAAGTTAATTGTTTTTATACTTATTTAATCTTAAGAATTTAAAACTTTCAAGGCAGTATTATAAAACAGTTTTTATTATTTAATTTTTGTTGTTTCAGAACAAACATTTCTCTAACCAAATTTCAACCATATAAAAATAAATTTTTTACAAAACAAACCTAGTAAATGTTTACTGTGAGTAAAATATTTTTAGAATCTGGAATAATACAATTCTTGTGTATTAGTAATCTCTGTTAAGCCATAAAATGTTTAGTTCCTTTAAGTACTTGTTATTAGGGTTATGGCTTACTAGCTAATGTTTTTCTTGCTATTGTGTGTAGTTTTTGAAAATTATGGAATTAGATTTTAAACTATTTTGTTACAAAATTTATTTCAGATTAGCTAGTCTGTATTATGTAGCAAATACTGTAGAATCAAGAATTACAATTTTTGAATGAAACTATTGCCAGTAGTTTATTAATATTTATCATGAGATTTTTTCAGAAATGGTATTATTCAAACAGAGAAATATAAAGAATATAAAATATATTTGTTACATTGCCAAAGCTAAGACAGCCATCTCTCTTCAGTGAAACTACTTTTTTCGTTGCATTAATTGATATATTCCAGTGTATCATTCAGTTTTAGTTTTTGAAGACAATTTTTGTGTCAAACAATAATTCAAGGTTTTATGTTTTATTTATGGTACATAGAGCATAAATATATAATACATGGAAAAAATAAAAGTCATGTATGTAAGTACCAAAAATGAAGATCTTTGGTGTTGTAGAATACAAATTACAATGTGTTAAGTTTGTTTGCAGTCATTATTCCAAAAAAAGATTTTCATTTTATTTTTTAAAGCTTGGTTCAAAAAACCAATAGCAGAAAGTACACTATTGGTACTTTAGGAGACTTTACAAGAAGTATTTTTAATGATGATAGTGTACTTTATGTTATTTTCTGCAGGAGCATAATGACTTAAGAAGGTACATGAAATCAAAAACAAAATAGTGTAAAAAACTTATACCATGTTTTAATGTTTACAATGTTTTGGGTTAAAGTGCTCTTCCTCTTGTAATTTTAAACTTTAATGCTTAAGAACATATATGGTCTGATGCCTCTAATGTGATGGAGTTTAATGTGTTTCTTAATATTCTACTTGGTCAAATCAAATGTCTTCCCCTTCAAAGCAGAAACCACTTCTTTAAGCTATTATGCATTGTTTTTGAGTTTCCTTTGTAATATAGTTCAAAATACAAGGGTTATTTTTTCATTTAAAAATAAATTTTTGGGAAGTGCTTCTGCCTGAGAGTGTTTAATAATTTATTCTGGTTATGCTTAGAACACTTGCCTAATTAATTTGAATGAAAAAATTATATCAAGCTCTACTTTTATAAGGTAACCATGAGCTAGTCCTTTTTTTCTTTGCAGCTTTAGTATGAAGCTTGTAAGCTAGGACGTTATTATTATTATTTTTTTTTTGTAATTTTAATTTTTGATCAAACATTAACTTGTATATGATGTCTTCTGGCTTACAGGATTTCTTTTTTAAAAAAAGTTGTTTTTTTACCAGGTTAACTGATTTTTAGGTACTCTCTAATTTATCTTTATTCTTCACTTGTTTCTTATGTTAGACTTTAATATATTTTAAGTTATTTTGTTTGACTCAACAAAACTTATTGTTTGAAATTTACATTGCTGAAAAAGTTTTTCAAAAAAGACACTGACTTAGAAGTCATAATAATTATGTGCTGATATTGACTGGAATGTTTCAACCATAACATATTATACATCATTTATTTTCTCAAATTAGCTTTAGGCATAATCAGATCAATCACATTATTTATTAATTGCCATATTTTACAAGGAGAAACAGTAACTATTATAGAAAGCATGTTAAAGTAGAGTTGCTTAATTTTTTATTTTAGTACATAATGACTGCAGAAGAAGCAAAACTGAAATCTGATCTGTGGATGAAAGTTCATGCAGATTACCTTCAAGAGCAGAAAGGTAAATGCTACATTTCTGTTTGTATTACTTTCTGTCTATTTTTACTATGTCAAACTGGTTATCAACATATCTGTATTTGTTCACTGTTTGTTGTAATTGATATTTCCAAAATGTTGCCAATAATATTCAGAATTTAACACTGTTGCTAGCCATTGACATTGAGTTTTAGTGTTCTTTGTCAAGTTGAGAAAAAACAGTACTTATTGTAACTTGTAATCATAATGTTTAAAACTTAAAATTGTTTTTTTTTTCAAGTTTTTAGGTTAAAAGTATTTTATGTATTCTTCAAAATATGAAATCTTTGTATAATTTGAATAGTGTGCTTGATTTTAAATATTTACATATATACATGCAATTAAATGTATCCTCCTAAGCATTTATTGTTTATTAAGTTGAAAACTGCCCCTGGAAAGTTTGTGTTTATTCTCCTTTCCAGTAATCTAAATTTAAGGATTACGACTAGTACTGGTTCTTTTAATACTTTTCATTTAATTGTTATAATCACTAAATTGATTTCAATCTAACATTATTGTACCACCATGAAATACAAAAAAGTAGTGTAACATTATGTTTTCATTATGAAAGACTTAGATTTTATGATCTAATTTCACCAGAAAAACAAGAGAAGAAAGAGAGAGAAAAAGAGGAGAGTGCCAAATCTGATCAAAAAAAGGTAAGAACAACTTGTTCTTTTTATTTTATATTTGTTTAGTCCATAGTTAATTTATTTAAAAAATATTCAAGCTATTTTCTTTATGAACATTTTTAAAGTAATTTCAAATACAATATTCTGAGCTAAAAATACTATTTTTACTTTAAAATATTTAAATAAAAAGTTTGCTTGGATTCTTAATCAGGCTGGGGGTAGTGCACTGCCTATGGAGGAATGGCTTGGATTGTTCATTGAAATGGTATTTTAAATATCTCCTCAATAAGTCATCAGAACTTTACAACACTCTACAGTGTTTCTTTTTATAACAATATCTATGTAATGACTGAGTCACAAGTTCTGGGAATGTTTGTAAATATCATAGCAAAAAGTTTCAATTTCTTGTTATTCTTCCTTTTGCTTCTTTTTTATTAGATGATAACTCAAAAACCAACACAATGATGTCAACCAATTTCACTAAGGTGACATAGTTTCAAACAAAGTATCCACTTTTATAAGTATTATTAATAACTAACTAGTAAATCATAATTTTGGTGTAAATGATGTTATCATTACCCCTTGAAGTTAGCTTTCTTACAGAAATTTGGTTTTCATTTAAAAAGCTTGAGTACAGAAGAAACATGAATTATGAGCTAATAATTGATAAACAATAAATATTACAGATAGAACCTCATTGTATTTAGAACTTGGTTATAAGTACAACCTTCCTATGTCTATTGAAATACTGTATTAAAAAAAGTATTTGAAAAAAGGAAGTAAATGTAAGGATGGCTAATATCAATCCTTCAAAATCAATGCAAACAAGATAGTAGGGATGGCACTTCCATCATCCCTACGTAATAGCACATGTCTTGGCATGGCCAGGTGGTTAGGGCGCTCGACTCACAGTCTGTGGGTCACGGGTTTGAATCCCCGTCACACCAAACATGCTCGCCCTTTCAGCCGTGGGGGCGTTATAATATGACGGTGAATCCCACTATTCGTTGGTAAAAGAGTAGCCCAAGAGTTGGCGGTGGGTGGTGATGACTAGCTGCCTTCCCTCTAGTCTTCCACTGCTAAATTAGGGACGGCTAGCGCAGATAGCCCTCGTATAGCTTAGCGAGAAATTCAAAAAACAAACAAACGTAATAGCACAGGCAAGAATTAATATATAGCAGTATATATGTATATATAACTATTCAATCACAATTGAGTTTAACCCTGACCACTGGTTACTAACTTTCTGTGCAGCCAGTGCAAGTCTTGCTATATTTCATTCCAAAAATAAAACTAGTGGATGAAACTGTTTGAAACTTCATAAGAACTTTCACAAATGTGTGTAGTTTAAGAAACATA